GACACAGGGGCTCCTGGTTAATCCCATTTCACACTTTTTTTTCTTTTCTTTCTTCCTCTCTCTTCTGAAGACTCCATTCCTGGGAGCAGAGTTCTGCTGCCACCTACTGCTACACTGTCTGTTTTTATTTTGTATTTTATGTGTATAAGTATTATGACTGCATGTGTGTAAGTGCACCAGTGTTGTGCAATGCCTGCAGAGGTCAGAAGGCAGTGTCAGATTCTCCTGGAAATGGAGTTACAGACGGTTGTTAGCAGTCATGTGGGTGCTGGGAATCGAACCCGGGTCCTCTGCAAGAGCAACCAGTGCTCTTAGCTGCTGAGCCATCTCTCCAGCCCCTGCTACACTGTTCTTAAAGTGGGTTTGCTCTGCAGTCCTGTCAGGCACTGTCGGGAGCTGTCATTTTAGTTTAACCTACAGAGTTAACACAATTCTAGGCTGAAAAGGTATCCAAACACTTTTTTTTTACCCCTCTTCAGTTCTAGGAATTAGCCTAGAGCCCTCATGTCTCTTAGGAAAGTGTTCTACCATTGAGTCGCTATCCCAAGTCCCCATTTTATTAAAAATTAAGATATTTACTGTATGCATACTTGTGTGCACATGTAAAGGTAAGAGGACAACTTTTGGGAGTTGGTTGTCTCTTTCCTTGATGTGAGTCCTAGAGCTTGAACTCAGGTTGGCAGGCTTACCTTCTTGCTGGCCCTATTTTTTTATTTTTGAGACAGGGTCTCACTAACTTGCCCAGGCAGGCCTTGAACTCACCCTGTAGCATGGGCAGGACTTGAGCTTGTGATCCACCTGCCTCAGCCTTCTAAGTATCTGGGATTACAGGTCTGTACCACTGGGCCCAGTTCTATTTACTTATAATCCACACATTACATTGAGCTATTAGCACAGGGTGTGAGAATCACTTCAGTGAACTCCCTTTAGGATTTGTTCTAAGTAAACTTACTATAAAATTTTGCCTTAAAGGTAATGCAAAATAATTGGCTTTTTGGACTTTTCTCTCCCCCCATGTAAAAAGCTAGCTTTGTGTCTCTTTTAAGAGAAATTTTTAAAAATTTTATTTTTATGTGTATGAGTGTATTGCCTGCATGTAGGTAAGTGCACCTGTGTCGTGCAATGCCCGTGGAGGACAGAAGAGGCTGTTGGATCCCCTGGAACTGGAGTTATGGATAGTTGTTAGCTGCCATGTGAGTGCTGGGATTCAAACCCAGGTTTTCTGCAAGAACCAGTGTTCTTAACCGCTGAGCCATCTCTCCGGCCCCAGCTTTGTGTCTCTTTACATATTTCAGTACTTCTGGTCTGTTTGTCTGTCCTTCACCTTCTCCTTTGAGCTAGTTCTAAGATCTTGGTTCCCTCATTAAGATTTCATAAAAATTTTGCTATACTTGATCTTAGCCCAAAGGCCAAGAAGCAATTAGCTTTTATAAAATTTTCAATATGTTATTTGAGCATACTGTATGTGCCATATTATTTTTTTTTTGAAAATTATCCTTTTCAGAATTTTGAAAACTTTGTAGTGTGGTTTTATTATCTGGCTTTTAGAAGTATAAAGTCTATGAAGAATAGACTTACTTTTGTACTAAAATGTACCTTTACCTTAACTGCTCTAGTTTGGATGTGAAAATGCACAATCTCCTCAGCAAAGGCCATATTTGGTCTCCAACCTGGGGCACTATTGGGAAGCAGTGAACTTTTATGTGGGACCTAGGTAGAGATGGTTATATAGCTTTGGGGGTAAGCTCATGAAGGGGATATTGGGAAGCGGCCTGCCTCTTTGCTTCACAGTTCCCAGCAGATGTGGCTCCACTGCAGGCTCTGGCTACCACTCAGTCTGCTGCCAGATGCCCATAGAAACAGGGCCAAGGATGGAAACCTCTGAAAGCATGAGCCACAACAGACCTTTCCTCCGTTTGATTACCACAGGCATTTCACAGTGACAGAGAACACACACTCAACCACATGATTATTTTTTGTTAGGCGGTGTTACTCTGTGGACTACTCTTACATTGGTCTCGGTAAAAATGTAAAACAATGTGGAAACGGCTGGGGCGATGGTTCAGTTAGTAAACCTAAGTGATGCTTGATAGTCAGATCCTGCTGCACAAGCAAGAGGATTTGAGTTCAGTTCCCAGTACCCATGCAAAACAGCCAGGTACAAGTCTACAGCTCCAGCCTGGGTGTGGGGTGGGGAGAGGAAGAATGACACAAATGCATCCACAGAATACCCTGGCCAGCCAGTCTAACCAAATCAGTGAGCTTCAGGTTCAACTACAGACTCTGACTCTAATATAAAGTGGAGCTGGGCGTGGTGCACATGCCCTTAATCTCAGCACCTGGGAGGCAGATCTCTGTGAGATGGAGGCCACCCTGGTCTACATATCGAGTTCCGGGACAGGTGGAGATACAGGGAAATTGTCTCAAAAAAAACGAAACAAATGGAGACCAACTGAGGAAGACATCTGACGTTGACTGTTGGCCCCCACATGCAGTTTGTGCCCGTGCACCCCCCCAAACATGTACACACAGAAAAATTAAACAAAAAAATGTGGAAACAGTATAAATCATTGGCAGAATGTTGAGCTTACCCAAAACAGAGGTGGGATGCTAAAAAAAAATTTACTACTTATTCTGGGATATTTCACATTTGGAATTTTAAAACTAGGGATGGCATCTTATAAAGCACATACATGTCTTATTAGCTTTCATATCCCATTTGGGGAGTCTATTTTAGAAGACATGAGTTAACCCATAGAGGGGTTCTTAACAATGCTTTTAATAATCCCATAATGGAAGACAGGAAAAAAGAAGTTTCTCTCTTTGGGCTTGTGCTTGATACAATTTTGAAACTTCAGACAGAAATCACAACCTAAGCCAAGGACTATAATGAATCTTCATTGACCATCTCCTAAAGGAGCAAGATATTAGTTTTTATTTCAAATGAAAACTAGCATCTGATATTGTTTTCTCAATATACTGAGTCACAGTCCCCAAAATAATAGTTAACACTAAAGCAAATTCAAAGTTACCTAGCTATTTTATTAATACCAATTGGAGGACTGCAGAGATGGTTCAGTGGTTAAGAGCACTTACTGCTCTTACAGAGAACCCAGGTTAGAGCCCCAGCACATACATGGAAGCTCACAGGTTCCAGGGGGATCTTCTGCCCTCTTCTGGCCTCCATGGGCACTGCACGCATGTGGTACACATACACACAAGTAGGCAAACACACACATAATCTTTTATAAAAGCAACTAGAGTATTTATATTGTAATATATATTTCATTTTAATTAAGATTACTTATTTGTAAAGATACTGTGCAATATACAGGCAGAGAAGGTGTATGTCAGTCTGGCATTCTAAATTTCATATTCAACAAGGAACAATCCAAGGTACATTATTTTGGTCATATCTTTATAACTAAGGCAAGTGAAAAAGCTCTAGGTGCCTTTGTGAGATAAATGTGAATGTACACTTGTAACCTGGGGTTGGAAAGAATGTCACATCTACTAAATGGACCCCTCAGTCATTCCCTCTCTGACAATTCTGCAATTCAGCTGCATGGATTTGATGGAGACCATCTGAGGCAAAGTGCTACACGGCATTCATGGCACATGTGGTGAGTTAGTGCATCTGGACAATTAATCTGTCTGCCAACAGACTTGCTCTTCTACTGAACTGCTTCTGTTTACTGCCACCTGCCCCTGCATCTTCACATTTCATCTCTTGTACAGTACATAATCCCAATGAGTCCAAAAGCATTAGAAAGACCACTTACGAATTCCATGGCCACAGAATTCCAAGCACAGTCGACTTTCCGACCCTTTGACCACTGCATGTTTTCAAGTCAGATTTCATTCCAGTTTGTCATAGTTACAGAATTATAAGCAGCCTCCCTAGGTCCATAAAATACCATCATAAATAGATCTAATCATTAATAATGCTGCACACTCCATAATATCTAATTTCAAATTCTAGTTTCTACTTCACAGGCACATCAACTGTTGCAATAAAACAATGTACATGGTCAGGAGCAAACTCCATATCTTGGCTCCTAATTTAGTGGTCTATATGCTAAATCACACATCTTCAGTACCCAGAACATAATAATGGAAACTTGTATATGCAAAATCGGCCCCAAATTATATTTTTAAAAAATATTTCATTATTTTATGTGTATGCATGTATTGCATGCATGTAGGTAAGTGCACCCGTGTCGTGCAATGCCTGCAGAGGACAGAAGAGGCTGTAGGATCCCCTGGAACTGGAGTTACAGACAGTTGTTAGCTGACATGTGGGTGCTGGGATTTGAACCTGGGTCTTCTGTAAGAACAGCCAGTGTTCTTAACCGCTGAGCCATCTCTCCACCCAAATTAATATTCTTACCAGGGAAATTAACTCGGTATTTTATCAAGTAAGAAAATAACATCTGAATATTCTAACTGACCAAGGACTTTCAAATAATCCCTTTAGGAAAAATACTTCTACAGGCAAATAAATAACAATTAAGCATTAACACTCATACAAAAGTTTTAAATTAGCTTAAAATGAGGGCTACAATTGGAGCTATCACAAAAGTATCACAAGTTTCCCCACAGAATTTAAGGCATTTCCATTAAAGTTGTTTGATTATTTCAGGACTGGTAAGTCTTAAGTGAAACTAAACTTGAAGTCTCATTAAAAGTAATATGAAAAGTTAAAGCAAATGTAACAAAATGCTGCATATTCTAGACGGTAGATGTTCACTAGGCTTTAAACCTTCCTGAATGTTTGAGAACTGTCATGATGAAGTACTGGGGGAAAAGCATAAAAAAAGAACATTTACTTTACCAACTTAAGACATATGACAAGTAGGCTACCCAGCAACTGGTCAGTTCCCACCCAGGCTTTCCTGAGGTGTGGTTATACTGTGCGCCACAGTGTGAGATCAGTGGACCCAGCAGTGACCAGAACAAGGTGTCTGTGTGCATTCTTGCTACCTTTTCCTGGAGTCTGCACAGGACTGGCGTTGCTCGGTGCTTCCAGGAGGCTGAGGAAGCTGCCTTTTCTGGGATGCTGTTGGGCAGGAAACCCCACAAGGTGTTTTCAACTAGAATTATTTTCTGGTCTTATTTTATATTAACCTGAATTTTCTCCTCAGGGGTGAGAGGTGAGGAAAGGGGAAATTTAAAATATTCAAGACATAAGTGACATTTTGAGAGACAACTAGGTTATGTCCTTGCAAGTGCTTGTCTTTGGCTATAACCAAGTACTAATCTGCTGAGACTGATTACATCTGGTTTTATCTTTCTGGATCCTGGGAATTCAGAGGCACCAAGCCACGGCATAGTCAGATTCACAGCAACTTTGAAACACATGACAGCGACCATGAGCCCCTGTAACTGAAAGAGCAGTTCAATAGACAAATACAATGCTTTACTGCTCCCCATTCATTTCCTTAAGGTGTCCAGGAAAGTTAGTATCACCACCCCCTTACACAAAAGTAATCGCATTTTATATACAACAATGAACAGAATCTAAGGCAAGTCAAAAAAAGAACTGGGTTAGGACAGAATACAAATACTTCAAAGTCTTAAGTTAAAAAACCCCTTAAGTGAATAGTATTTTCTGGTCACAAGAGATTAAGGAATCTGGATAAAGGAGTAACAAGCAACTTTTCTGTAAAGAGAGTGTTTCTAATTGAATGCCAAATTCACAAGGTATTCTTGGTTTGCTTCATATTTCCAGGAAAGAGAACTTTGTACCAGTCACAGAATTCAATTGGTAGAAGCCATCCAATACCTCTATTAGTAATGACTTTTATGAGGGGAGAAAACACTCCAGGTGTTCTAACTCACTTTTTCCTACTCCTCATTCTCTAGCTGCAAGTTGAATAATGCCAGTGCACAGCTAGAAAGTCACTGTGGAATCAGCCAAAGGACAGTGATCAATTCCCAAACTATGACTATTATCTGACTTGATTTCTAGTAGCAAAACGTTTGATTTGGAGGAAAAAAAAAATCTCACAACACTAAGTTGGACATCTGAGGAAAAAGAAACAAAAAATAACAATGTTCTAGACTGGTAACAAAAGACAGATCTGATAAAAGATGGTGAACAAAATCTAAACACAACCCAGATGCTTGTAGACCAACCGAGTGAATGAATGCTAGGAAGGGTAGAAGAGTAAAAACACATAAAGAAACCAGCTTTCTAAACGGTTAAGACTTGATTCTGAGCTGATCTTAAGAGACGTCTTTGAATGGCAGCTTGATTCTTTTTACCCTGCTTTCACAGTGAATGATTAGCATATAACAACCAATTTATCAGAAAGTGCAAAATGCTGGGAGTTACAGTACTTAAGATGTGCTTCAGCTGATGATCCAAGGAACCCAGTGTCAGCAGAGGTAGCTACTACTCCTACGGCTACTGCCAATGCTCTGCTGGTTAGCATGTGACTTCCCAAGACAGGATTTTATGGTTGAAGGTTGGGAACCGATCACAGAAACATAGTCCAACTCACTTTATAAATAAGAGAAACTTGAAGTTGGGAAAAATTCAAGTTAGGCAAAAAACTTTTTTTTAAAGATGCCGAGTTTACCTACTCCCTCTCCCCCGACCCAGAAGCCATAACCAAGGAAGGAAATGACTACCCTTAGTACCTAATACAGACAAGTTTTTAATAGAAATCTAACCAGGAAGCTTTTAAATGCTATTTCCTTTTTCAAGAGGGGTCAGGGAAGGGGAGCCTGTTTGTGGTGACCATTTTCTTCTGTTAAAAATGCATGCTTACAGAAACTGTAAAAAAATTAAGAATGCATAAAGAAATAAGCCCTCAAATAATTTAGTACATTTTCCTTGGGCTTTTTCTATGTAAATACAAAAATAACTATTGCTTGCTTTTTCACTGGAACTCCCCATTTACTTACCCACTAGGAAACAATCACAGGAACAGCAGCGATGAGGATTCCATAGGTAGGTGCCTCACGGGAGCTGCCTGGACAAGCAGCGACTGGTCACCAGTGACCAGCCTGTGGTACTGGTATGGGGCAGGGAAGCAAAGTCTTTGCTTCACCTTTAAGGGTGAAATGGGAGCAAAGAGGGAAAAATAACTAAAGGAACCGGTCAAACTGACACTTGCTGGGGATGGCTGCGACTGAAAGCTAGACTCCTTCCCATACCAGGTCCTTGCTCTTCCTCTTGAAAGTAGGGCAAACCTGAACACTGGTCAGCTCTGCTCTGGCCTCCTGAGAGAGAAAATATCTTTTCTTATTACCAGAAACTCTAAACATTCTTGTGTAAACAGCAGTAGACAGAGCCTCTTTGGTTCCTTACAAATATTATAGCTACTTGTAGGACTCCCTGAGAACTAGAATCTGCAATTATTTTATATGTACAGGCTGTTAGCAAATACAAACAAAACAAAATCACCTTTCCGTGATAGAGACCTTTGGCCACTTCAGTACATTCCACAGAATCTGTTCAGAACCTGAAGGGAACTGGACTAAGGTAACCATGCAAACTGAGTAGTGATACCACCATTGACTTCCAACCCTAGTTTAGTGACCTCTCTTGGATGTCCAACAACCATCCAAACTTTACAGAATTCTGTTATTAGGAATTTCTTAAGGGTTTCTGTTGTCACCAATAAGAAACCATTAAGGTTGACAAACTGAATCACTTTTTTTTTTTCAATGTATACAAATGTTTTGCCTGCATGTATGTAAGTGTACCACATGCAAACAATGCCTGTGGAGCCCAGAACAGGGCATCAGATCCCCTGGAACTGGAGTTACAGTTTTTAGTTGCCATGTGGGAACCAAACCTTGGCAAGAGCAGCCAGTGCTCTTACCCCCTGAGCCATCTCTCCAGCCCCAAGTTGAATCACTTTTAATTTTGATGGTGGTGATTCTGCGTTTGTAAGCAACAGAAGACATATACAGGGCCGTGGAAATCACACTGCATTGAACACAGAAAAGGTTACATGGGTGGTAACATTCAACAGTTAGTATCCACATCAGTTTTACAAACTGGAGAAGCTGCTGCTTGGAACTTCAAAATACATAGGGGAGTCAGAAACACTTAGTGCTCAACAGTCACTGTTTATACTAAATAAGAGTTTACACTAGTCCCTGAATATCCTTAGTTAACACCAGGGAAAGGGGGTAAATGAGAACTGAAGCTTTATAAGGATTATGGTTCAAATCCTCAGAAATCCATAGGAGGTCAAATAAAATGAGAACTCGACAGTAACTCTTCTTGATGGCACTAACACAAGGCAGTAGTGATTCTCATGTTTAATACATTACAGCAAATACTATAAAAACAGCCTAGCATTTTTAAGGAGTCCATTATTATTAAAAGACTGAGCTTTAGTAATCCAACTCTGGGCTTTCTGAGAATAAAACACACTGAAGCAAAAGCCCATGGAAGTATGGCAAAGAGGTACAGTAACTGATAAAACAGCTGTTGTGGTATCTGGCCCCTCAAATGCCAAATTTCTGAAAACACATAGGACATGTAGATTCTTAAGAAAAACTGCCTCTGATATGTGTAACAGTAAGAAGGGGTTAAGCGACCTCAATAAGGGCATTTGCTGGTAGGAATCACATCTCTCCTACTGCTTTTTTGAATATTATTACTGGGACCAGGCAAGGAAAGGCACCATTTTTCTCCATACAGTTTGCTGTCTGCTAATGAAAATAAGTGGATGCTACACCCCTGCATCAGTACTTCGTGGCTGGAAACCCTCCTTCCGAAGGCCACCCATGTCAAAGCGGGTAGAGACTTCACAACGCACTAATAATGTATCATCCTTAATGAAGGTTCCCTGTCTTAAGGCTTCCAGGTGCATAAACGTTACATAGCCAAAACCTTTGGGGTTCCGTGGGATTGTGGGCCGTTGGAAGGCAAGCAGCTCTGGTTTCGCATCCATTACCTCTTCATGGTTTTGCCTTATTGCTGCTTCAGACTGATCAAGAATTGTAAGGCGTATTGTGCCCTGGAAGGGCCAAGGGAGGTGGCTGTCATAGTCTCCCTGCATTGTGTGAACAAAAAGGGATATATAGTTTGCACAGCGCTGAGCTGTTGGTAGCTGAAGGTGCAGGCGCATGCACAGTTTGTACCCAGGTTTGCCTGTGTAGAATCCAGGACTATGAATGACAACAGGTTTTTCCTCCTCTTGTGATTTCAAGTGCATCCCAAAGTTGCCAATCTTCCAAATGTAAATCCCATTGCACTGTTGTGCTTCCACTTCAGCAACTTTTTCCTCAAGTGTTCGAAGAGTTCGTTTGAGCTCACTTACATACATGCTCTGAGTTTCCATTTTAGCAGTGAGCTCCCGGATTTGGTGGTCCTGTCTTACAAGGCGACCCTCCAACTGTTGGATGGTTTCTTCATAATTTGGGTCCTCTGGGCGATATCCCCGGGGCAGAGAGGAAGCATCACATGGAAGCAAAGCAAGGTTTAAATTCTGAACAGCTTGGGCCAACATTCTCATGTGCAACTGTGTATTCTCTTGCAAGTGCCGTGCCAAGTGATTCCTCTGCATCTGAAAACCAAGTACAAGTCTTAGGTTTGTAGCAGACACTGTGGATGAGAAAAGGACCTGGCCACACAAGAGGTTTTAAAAGCAGCATCACTGCTCCTTCTCCATCTTTTTAAAAAAAGATTTTTAGTTGTGTGTGTATGTGCATGTGAGTGTAGGTGCCTGTGGAGGCCAGAAGAAGGCATGGGGTTGAGCCCCTGTAGTTGGAGTTTTAGGCTGCCAATGTGGGTGTAGGAACCAAACTTAGGTCCTCTGGAAGAGCAACCAAGTGCTCTTACCAAGTACTGAGTCATCTCTCCAAAACCTCCATCCTTGATAGCTTCCCTGTGTTGATATCAGACCTGATGTAACGAGATAATCCTGCCTCTTCACTAAAGAACTGGGCCTACGAGATGAACGCTCCCAGCTTTCAGTCTGGTAAAATTTCCTTGGACCTATAAAAGCACCTGCATGTATACCTATCCTTCTTTGCTGACTCAGACAGATCTCCCTTGTCTTTTCTCCACATCAGAAGTCTCATTCAGTTATTCTCTCTTCTTCATCTTCAAACACATTCTTCCTCCAACTTCCCCCCTTAGGGAATATAGTTATCAAATTCTTTGCATTAGAAAAAAAAAGGGGGCAAACCTTTCTACAGATCATATGCTTCTCTCCAGTCAATACCATTTTCTCCCTTTTCCCTTAAGACCACAGGTGGCCTACCTGTCATGTCCCTAAACTCCTCATTTATAACACCAATCTAACGCAAATTGGAATTTTTGCTGTCTCTATACTAAGGTCATAAAAAAATCCTGAATTTTCTATGAAAAGTAATCATATAACTATAAAACAAAATCATGTATATTATAGAAAAATAGAATATCTAGGCGATTAGAAAGAAAACAGGTTATCTATTCTGTCTCTATTAATACTCTGATGTACTTCTTTCAAATCCTTTTCTCTATGCATACAATACAGAATTTTTCCACAAAATTTAAGCATAAAATTTACTATTATGTTTTACTTTTTTAAATATGTATGAGTGTTATGCCTGCATGTGTGTAAGTGTACCTGTGTCATGCTGTGCCTGCAGGACAGAAGAGGGCATCAGATCCCCTGGAACTGGAGCTACGGACGGTTGTCAGCTGCCATGTGGGTGCTGGGATTCAAACCCAGGTCTTCTGCAAGAACACCCAGTGCTCTTGACGGCTAAGCCACTTTTTTGATTAATTTAAATTTTATATGTATGTATTGTGTGCATGTACATAAGTGTACCTGTGTGGTGCAGTGCCCTTGGAGGTCAGAAGAGGGTGTTGGATCCCCCTGGAACTGGAGTTAAGGACAGTTGTTAGCTGCCATGTTGGTGCTGGCAACTGAACCTGGGTCTTCTGCAAGAGCAGCCAGTGTTCTTAACCACTGAGCCATTTTTCCATCCCTTCTGCTATACTTTTAAAAAGTTAACTTATAGGGGCTGGAGAGATGGCTCAGTGGTTAAGAGCACTGACTGCTCTTGCAAAGGACCCAGGTTCAGTTCCCAGCACCCATATGGTGGCTAAATGCCTCTAAGTACAGTTCCAGGGGGTCCAATGCTTCTTCTGGTCTCCACAGGCAGTGCATACACATGATGTGCTTACACATATGCAGGCAACATAAAATAAAAATAAATTTTATTAGTGTAGCAGAAGTTTAGCAGAAGCACAAACGTGTAACCATACACTTGGGAAAGAAGCACACACAATGTGCTACGCTAGACATCTCATACTCATGATTCCTCTGGAAGCTAGCTGGAGAGATCATAGCAGTACTTTCTCACAGGACTTTCTCCTTTTCTGAGTCCCTTCTTCCTAATAGTGTCTACTCAGGTCTCTTTCCTTGGCTCACTTCTCTTTTCAATAATACACATAATATGACTGTTATACCCCTTCCACAATTTATTCTCCCATACCAGTATTCAAAGCCTCGGTTTCTCTTTGGCACTTAAGACCACATACAAGGTCTTTTTCACCTGGATGTTTTGTAGCTGGGTGAGCAAACTCATACCTGCAACTCAATACCATTAAAACCCCCTTTTTCTTTTCTTTTTTAAAAAGCTTCCACCTCTATAGCTCTTTCCATGTCCACTCTTTTTGAATGGTCCTTCCCTACTTACCCAAGGGACTACGGCCAGAAACCAATAGTCATTCTAAATGCATCCTCCTCCACTGCTAAGTATGTGCTCATAGCATCAATATTTATTTTAATTTACATCAACAGTGTATAAATGCTTTATAAAAATTTACACTTAAACTTGCTGGTATTCTCCATTAAATCATATAACTGAGATTTAAAAAAATTTATATTCAAGAATTCAAAGAAAACTTACTTCTTCATGACAGCCAAAAGTACTGAATGTGCAAGGGATTGGGGCAGTTGGGCAGTCCAGATCATAATGATTAGGCATCTGAAAATCAACACAAAGACTGAAAAGTGTTTCCCTTGCAAATCATACTCTAGTTTGATGATACTACTAAAAAGACATTTACCTTATGCCTAAGCAAAACTATGTATTTCCTATGGCTTCTTCACAATTCAGAAAGAACATCTCACAATATCATCCCCCAATTCACTAAAATTCATTTCATAAAATAAGTTTGTTTCTATTGCAGGAAACTGGCACCCTCTAGTGGTATTTTTAAGAAAACATCCCCAACAATGCTGCAAACCTAATGCTCTTTCTAAGCCATTTAATAAGGGACATGACAACCTTTCATTAATCATCTTACCTTTTGTAATCCTGGCTAATTTTGGCTCTAGTGGGGAACTCAGGTGTCAGAAGGTAGTTCAAACACACTGATACAGTTCTACTAAAGAAAATTGCAGCCTCTGATTTGGGGGTTCAAAGATACCTTCTTTGAGGTGAGATCCACTTAAGAAAATCATTATTTTTAAAGTGATGCCAAGGGGCTGGGTAGGCAGCACACTGGTACACTGGCCTAGCATGTATGAAGCTTTGGGGTGTGAGGCCACAGTGAGAAAGAAAATGAAAAGAAAGGAAACAAAGTGCAAGGGGAGGAGGAAGAGAAAAGGAGGAAGGACAGAAGCCAAGTGAAAGTAGTGCCTGATTTTCTCTAGAAATTGAATTTAGCCATGGTTGCAAGCTCAAAGATTAAGTTAATAACACAGGATCGAATTCTGGTTTTTCTGATGCTTCTATGGTTTTTGTCTGCATTATACTTTAATTTTATCTGAGTTTTAAGTGTGCAGCATAGCTTCCTTTAACTATTGAAGAATACAAAAAAGAAAAGCAGGGAGGTGGGACTTCGTAAGTAAAAGTTTAGCACCTTGTTGGAAAAACATTACTTTGTTAAACAGACACATGGAAAAATTTAGTCAAGTGACAAGTTTTGCTGCTTTGACTAAGTAAGGTAATCAATGGTTTCTGCACTTACAGACTTCATGGGCACATACACATTAAGTGACTAATATTTATATTTTGTGGGTAAACTTTCCAAATGCCCTCAGATAGCAATCAGATGGAATTTTCCTTTGCCCACTAATGAAAAGTAACCTTTTTCCTGTAACTACTACCTCTGATGATGCCCACCACTACTCTAGGGGGGAGGCTACAGGACCTGAAATCTCAAACATTCTTGTATGCCTTAGGAGCTATCACTCCAAATAATCTGCTATGTAATAGATTTGCTTTCTTTTTAAGAGTATTTTATTATTTTCATTCCATGTGTATGAGTGTATTGCCTACACGTATGTGAGTGTACCCATGTTGTGCAACACTACAGAAGTCAGAAGAGGGCGTTGGATTCCCCTGGAACTGGAGTTAAGGACGGTTCGTAGCCGCCATGTGCGTGCTGGGAATCAAACCCAGGTCCTCCGCAAGAGCAGTCAGTGCTCTCAACTGCTGAGCCATCTCTCCAGCCCCTAGATTTGCTTTCTTTTATCTCCATATTCTCTCAGCCAGTCTCTGGACAGCCAAGACCATCAAGTTTTTTCCAAGTTTTTTCTTTCCTTAAGTGAGGACCCTGACTTTCAATTGTTTTTATCTTAAAATGACCTGCTTTGGTTCAGATTTGTTTGTTTGTTTGTTTATTTATTTATTTATTTTTTTTTTTTATTTATTTTGTGGTGCAGGGATCAAACTCAAGGTCTTGGGTTTTACTAGGCAAGTGCTCTACTCCTGAATTTTTACATCCCCAGTTAATGGAATTTTTATAAATACACATAGGTATTAGCATAGATAATATGCTAATGACTTGGAAATTTTAAACACCTAAAAATACTGGAGGTTTTAATCTTTTGAAATATTTACTAATTATATTAATTTATATGAAAATTTTCTTGTACAGCTCTAACATTTCCTCAACATGTACTGATTTTGCCTTATTGATTTAAATTTTCAATTAAAAAACAAAAACTAGCTGGGCCTTTAATCTCAGCACTCAGCACGCAGACCTCTGCGCCAGCCTGATCTACATAGCAAGTTCTAGGCCACCTGGGGTTCCAAAAACCTAAACCCAAATCCAAACCAAAACAAAATGGAAACTTTAAGCTCTTAAGGAAATAATAATTTGCAAGAGATTCATACCTGTTCTCTAATGAGGATGGTATTGCAATATTCACAGATGACATTTGCCAAAGGACAGTTCTGATCATGGATCTAAATTTTATGAGAATTAAGAAATACATGAGAAAAAGTGAAAAAGTAAAAAATCTACTCTTTGTAGAAAGTAATTTTTCCACCATGAGCAAATGAAAGACATTGGTTTGCATAAAGTCAAAATGAGAGACTACATAGAGGCCAATTTCTCTCCCTTGCTAGTGTAATGAGATTTGGCATTTAGGCCCTTTTAAAGAATACAGCAGCATGCAAATCAGAGTTAAAATCCCTTTTTAACCCTATGCAGACTACCTGCGACTAGCCCGGGCATCATTTGTTGATGTTACACTTCTAGGAGGCAATGAAGATGTTTTCAGCAGCAGTAGCACAAATTAATTATACCTCTTGCCAGTAGGTTAAAGAGAAAACACACTAGGGCATGAGATGCCAGTGCCTAAGTTTTTATACACCCAGAAAGGTGAGCACTATTTTCTAGAACACAGTAACTTTAGTCTAACTGATATGCTAAAAAATAATTAACCTTTTTCTTTAGTTCATCTAATTTACTCACGTTGAGAAAGGTATCAATTTACTTCAATTATGACTGAAACATCTACATTTTTATTGTTAGTAAGTTAGCTGAATTTTTTGGAATATTTTATCAACATACTAAATATAAAATGCTTGATCTCTTAAGCAACAAATTTAGAAGAATTAAAGTTTAAGAAAACAACTAAGTATTAGTTGTTACATGCAAGTTATTTTAGTAAAGAGTACAAAGAACAGGATTCAGTGTCAGTTCCAACACTGCCAATGTGGACAAAGCTACCTGGCCTCTTTAGTCCCTGTTTCCGGAGGGAAACAACTGCTCTACCATAGTGATGCTGCCAGCGACCATAGTTTCTTAAAGATTAATTTTTTGCTGGGCATAGAGCACACATCTTTAATCTAATCCCAGCACTCTGGAGGCAGAGGCAGATGGTACTCTGAGATGGAGGCCAGCCTGGGGAGGCAGGAAGAACCTGTCTGAAAAAAACACCCTCCTGCCCCCCCAAAATAAAAGATGAACTTTTTAATTGAAGTAAAATATATACACTGAAAAATGAATACAGCACAACAAATTATCACCAACGGAGCACACACGGAGCTAGATTACAGATGCATCAGCTCACTGTCATTTGTAAATAACTGCATAAATCTTATGTGTCACTGTACTACTTGTCTGTCTGCAATCACACTGGTCATTAAAATTCATGGACAGGAAAGTCAACCAGTAGATACCTTTCCCAGGAGCTTGTGCTACTTTTGGATCTACATGAGTAGAAACTAGTTTAGCATGCATTCTACAGATATGCAAATATAAACCCCACACTTACTGACAAGGGGTTCACTGAAACTTCATTTCTTTCTTAAAAATTAAGCTTTAAAAAACTGATAATGGAATTCACTTTGGCAGTCATGTCCTTATCTAATGTCAACACCCTCAAATATGTACTTAAAATAGAATGAACAAATCTGAGTTAGCACATGCCTCTTTATCTTCAAATGCCATGGATACAGCACAGTTTACACAAGAAACCTGTCTCCTGGGACAATCTTCAATAATGTGAACATTAAATTGGCACTTCTGAAAGGGACGCTGGCACTGGGGACAATTCATAAGAGCAAATTCACAATGTGCTTGATGATCCTGTAATAGAGCAAAAATAATTGATTAGTATTTAAGAACCCTAAAAAAAGTTTTCTAAATATTTTTTTAAAAAATACAATGTTCTTTGTATAGAATTGGTGACAGTTAACTTTAACTGTCAACTTGACACAGCCTAGAGTCACTTGAGAAGGGAGTCTTGACTGAATGATTGCCCAGATCAGACTGGCCTGTGGTTACAACCTGTGGAGGACTGTCTTGATTGTTAATTGGTGTAAGAAGGCCCCGCCCACTGTAGGCAGCACTATTCACTGGGCAAGTGGTTCTGGGCTATGTAAGAAAGCTAGATAAGCATAGACCTGTGCATGAGCTGGCAAGCAGTGTTCTTTCAGTGTCTGTCTGGGTTCCTGCTCTGATTTCCCTCAATGATGGACTGTGATCTGGAAATGTAAGCCAAATGAACCCTTTTCCTGTCCTAAGCTGCTTTGGTCAGAGTGTTTTATCACAGCAATAGAAATCAAACAGAACAGTGACTGAGCCTACATGCTCCAACTGTACACAACAGGAAGGCCTTACTTAAGTCTGAAGTAAGAGTTGTAGATTCCAAGTTTAGGGTTAAGGAGAAGGTAGAGAGAAGGCTCAGAGATTAAGAGCACTTGCTGCTCTTCCAGAGAACCAGAGTTCTGTTTCCAGCACCCATGTTAGGCAGCTCACAGGGGAATCCAACAACTTCTTCTGGCCTCTGTGGGCACCTGGACACACATGGCATACACTCTCACATATACATTTAAATAAAAAGAAATCTTTAAAAAGAAGAGGAAGTAAAAGGGGAAGACTGAAAATCTGTTATAAACATTTAAACAGAATTATTACCCATATTCGATTCCTGGAAAAAAAAATCACTAAAGAAATGATTTTAAAAAAAGTTTATTTTTATTTTACAGGTTATGAGTGTTTTGGTACATGTACATGCTTGTGCCTGTGGAGTCCAGAAGGAGGAGTTTGCTAACCCCGCCTGGAACTAGAGCTGCTGGTGGCTATGAGCCACCATGTGGGTTCTGGGAACCAAACCACGTCCTCTACAAGAGCAGCAAGTACTCTTAACCACTGAACCATCATCTCTCCAGCCCCAGAATTGATTTAACTTAGAATTATTTTATCTGATTACTTCAGTTAATTTTAAACTATATGGATATTTAGCAAATAATACAATATACAATTTAGAAAAAGAGAAAATCTGATGAGGGCACAAAGATGATGGTCACAGGAGTTATTTCAAAATGAGAAAAATGAAGTTATGAGATTAAAATGTAATTCACTTAAAAAGGTCATCAATTTTACTATAGATAGTGCTTACTTGGAAGACTTCTAAAAACACTAGTTTATTTTTATTGCTGGGACAAAGCCAAGGCAGATTAAAAAACATTCTAATTGCTTTTTAAAGAAAAATTGATTTAGCCGGGCGTGGTGGCGCACACCTTTAATCTTAGCACTCGGGAGGCAAGGCAAGCGGATCTCTGTGAGTTCAAGGCCAGCCTGGTCTACACAGTGAGTTCCAGAACAGCTGGGGCTACAGGAGACCCTGTCTCAAAAAGACCAAAAAAAATTTTTATTTATTATTTTTATTTTATGTGTATGCATGTATTGCCTGCATGTAGGTAAGTGCACCTGTGTCATGCAATGCCCACGGAGGTCAGAAGAGGCTGTTGGATCCCCTAGAACAGGAGTTATGGACAGTTGTTAGCTGCCATGTAGGTGCTAGGATTTGAACCTGGGTCTTCTGCAAGAACAACCAGTGTTCTTAACTGCTGAGCCATCTCACCAGCCCCTCTAATTGCTTTTAATATTTAATAATCAGGAGGTTAGTAGTAAGAATTTGTTAGTTAATTCTGATATGGTAGATACAACAATCCACAGATAAATAGAGCAAAGTCCTTAATCTCTAGGAATTCATACATGCTGACAGCTAGAAAACAACTTACCTCCAGATGCCTCAGCTCCATCTTGTGTAAACAGCCTTCATTTGGGCACTTTACCGTCAGAGAAAGAATCTCTCGCTTTGCAAAATTGTCAGGAAACAGTTGATTTTCCAGCAGTATTTCATTGTCAACCGGGCATTTGTGACCCGCATCCCTAGAAGAAACAGGGTACACTATAGTGAGTAGACTGAAGCATTCACATTGGAAAACTTGCTCCAGTTCACGGCATAAAATAGTTCAGCTCATTTTGCATAATAACACCAAAATGATAGGTATAATGTATAGTTTATGAATTCACTTATGAAATGAGTATAAAATAGCAACATACTGGTTCCCTATCAAAAACAAAGAGTGTAGATTGTGGGACAGATTCCAGCTAAAAAATGAGGGAGAGAATAAATAAAATCATAGTCTGTCATAAAAATGAAGGTTAGGAATGGGAATTCTGGCAGTCTAGCTGGCCGACTCTACAGTGCTTACACAGTCTACTAGTAAGACAGATCAAACTTCTCACAGTATCAGTGGATGTCTACAGCTCAGTGCTTAGTTGCAAGCAAAACTGAACCAATTAGCAGCACCCCTCTGAGGCCTCATTTCAAAGCTTTGAAATACTCACTATGACACTCCAGCACCTGGACAACAAACGATTTACTGCATTTGTGTATCTTGGGTGCAACACAACAAGAGAGTTAAAGGGCCTCTATACTGACCTTCCCAGAATTTCCTTCCACCCCATCTTACATTTAAATAAAAAGGTGGTGGGGAAAAAAAATCATCTTCAGGAAGCTTGGGCATCTGCCACACCTTTTTAACTTTTGAGGCTGTTTCAATCTAAGCACACAAAATGTGACAAATAGGCCAAATGAGCCTTAATCACTCAAACATTTGCTGAGTGTCTTATGACCTTAACAGTGCTTGCTGTGAAGGGAGATAAAAAAGATGACTAAAAAATGGTGTCTGCTGTCAAATAGTACAGAACTTATCAAAGTGAGATATAGTAGATCTTTATGGGGCCTGTTTAACATTGTATAATGTTACTAAACTGTCAAATACATTTAAAGCATAGAAAACCATGAACAAATCTATTGAAAATATACTTCCCCACCTAAGTAATGCTTATCTAAGTAAACCTACACTCATTATCCAGTTTTAGCATTCATTCCAAAAGAAAATGAAATTAGACTGAGATGCATGTTGATCCTTAAATGACTGTATCAATGGGGAATTTTATGGCAGTTCCTTTAGCAGCATTAAAGCCAAAGTACGTGGTCAGTTCTAACTTAGAGGGAAACTGAAGAGAACAAAGCCTCAGATCCCCTTGTGTGGGATGTTTCCTTTTCAGACCACTGTCCCCTACTTTCAAGAATATTTTGCTACAGGGATTTGTAAAGATTGGCTAGCTACCAGATACTTGATAATAGTACACATTTTTATATATAGGAAATCAACGACTCATAATATGCTACCATTTTAACCTATGGTATATATATATATATATATATATAAAATCACACACAGAAAGACTGAACCTTAAACACTGTTCTGCTGTGATCTTAAGCAGAGGCCCCAGGAGACACTGTGGTCTCACATCTTGGATAGGTGATGAAGTATTTTTTTTTAAATAGTTTATTATTTTTATTTTATGTGCATGAGTGTACTGCCTGCATGTATGTGAGTGCACCCATGTCATGCAATGCCTGCAGAGGTCAGAGAGGGCACTGGATTCCTGGAACTAGGAGGTTTTAGCCACCATGTGGATACTAGGATCTGAACCTGGATCCTCTGCAAGAACAGTCAGTGCTCTTAACCACTGAGCCATCTCTCTAGCCCCTAGATGATGAAACTATTAATGTCCAGTGGACATACTGGATAGGCATGCAGCTAAAGATTCTAACAGATGGAGGGCTTCTGCCACAACAAAGAGTTGTCTGGTCCAAAATATCAGCAGTGTTGAGGCTGAAAGAAAAAAATACCCTACACAGCTACCATAATTCTTCCCCTTTAAAATTGAAGACATGCTGTTCCCTTGTAACTTAATTCAAGTCCCAAGTATGAATATGGCTACTCTAATTTCAACTTTATTGGAAAGTTAGTACAAGAGCTAAGACAAAATTGTATAACCAGTGACTAGCGCAAAGATGACTTGCTCTACTTAGGAATTGTTTGAGTTTGGTCCCTAACGCTCAGAAATGGGGAAGTGACTGGAACACAAGGTTACTGATCTGATCAACACATTAATCCACTGACGGGTTTATACTCTGATAGCCAATGGGAAGGTGATGGAAACCTAGGAGGAGGGATCTAGTTGATCAGAGTACAGATCTTTCTTTTTTTGTCATGTACTTATAATTCAATTAAAATAACTACATACTAAGCACATACCGAGGGTAAGGCACTGTTTCTAGCACTAGAGAATTACCAAGAAAAAAACCAGACCTAACATATTGCTCTCAAGGAGCTAAACCCCTGGTGGGGTAGGCAGACAATAAACTTATTGTTTTAGTTGGAAAAGTGCTACAGAAAACCAGAAAAGTTCAGCCTAGTAAGGAAGATCTGGATGGAGGGCAGGAAGTGTTGAGCTTGCTGTGGTATAAACAGGATAATCAGGGAGTCTATGAGAACATAGTTCAGACACAACAGGAATTAAGGGGTTAGCTATGGCAAGAATGCTCCAAATAGAGCACCCAGTTAAAGCAACTCAGCAAAGGAGGAACATGCTTGGCGTGCAAGGAACAGCAAGCAGAAATAAATGGAAGACGAGTGAGCACCGCGGAGAGCAGAAAAATGAATCATGGGCTGCTGTACAGGCCTTCAAGGACTTCTACTCCCAGATAAGCACTGCAGTCTTCTGAGCCAAGGTGACATCATCTAACTTCTAGACCAAGCTCACTCTGACTGCTTTAATAAAAGCAGAAAGCAAAGCTGGGAGGTTAGAGCTGCTGGTGACACAGAACTTGTCAGTAGCAGTGGAGGCAGGAAGAAGGGACTGGATTCTGGATGGATGATGAGGGTAGAGCCTTCAGTTATGATTTCACTAAAATGCTGGTCATTTTACAAGTGCTTACAGAAATCAGGTAACAGAATTCACCATAGCTAATAGCAGAATATGTGATCACTAAAGAACCAGCATTCTTCGTATGGCTGAGCTTATCATATTCCAGCACACAATTCAAGGTACATTTTAAAATATCATTTTCATGAAGCACAGAATCCCCTCCTAATCTAGATTACAACTGCTTTAGAAAGTAGCTATTTACTTTCTTATTTAACTGAAGGTCAGGGCAGGGAAGACTGAGAAATCATCTTTCATATTACAGTACGAACTGGGATAAGAATCTGTCAGGGCTGGAGAGATGGCTGGAGAGTGGTTAAGAGCACTTGCTGCTCTTCCAGAGGATGTGGGTTCGATTTCCAGCACCCACATCATGGTTAACAACCATTTGTTAACTCCAGTTCCAGGGGATACAACGCGGGTGCTGTTACATACATGCAGGCAAAACACTCATACACATACACATAAAATAAAATAAAAAATCTGTATCAGTTTTCTGTCCACTGTTTTTTTTTTTCCCCCAGTTTTTTATGCATAAGACTGTTCTTGAAATGGCCTGCTTTTTATGTAACCACGCTCTGTGCATTTGGTTGTTATAGGACACCATTCTTTTTCTTTTTTAACTTTTAAAAAGAACTTTGAGACTTTCATACATGCATATAGGTGTTTTGATCAAATCCATGCCCACTCTCTCCCCTCCAACACCTCCCATAGTTCCTCATCACTTTTTTTCTGACAACTTTCCATTTTTTTTTTTTTAAAAGGGGGGGGAGGCTTTTTGCTACACTAACATTACCCCTCTGAATAGGTAACCCTAAAATCTTTTTGGGATTAGATAAGAGCTCCCAAATACTTTTGTCATTTTTGGCCTCTGGAATAGAGTATGTTGCTAAGAGGCCCAAGGAAATTTTGACTTTTAGCCAAGAAACTGGCTACTTTTCTTTGGGGTCTTTTTATCCTAACTGCCTAGCCAATTCCTACCTCCTATTCTTATCACACCATCCTCTGAAGAGGTTACCCAAGTTGCCAATAGGGAATATGGGATGCAGACCACAGGGCACCATTCTTTCTTAAGTTTAAATACCTTATGGATTTGATGATGCAGGCTTTGCAGAACCTGTGGCCACACGGTGTTTGCACGGCTTCCCGCAATGCCATCAAGCAGATGGGGCACTCATACTTGCTTTCCAAGGGAGGGTCAAACTCCACGTCATATCCTTGGATCTCTTCCATAAAGGAGCTCGAGAGGTTCCCGGTGCTGGCAGATCCACTCACACTGTCATCTTTCACTGCAGCACTGCAGGAGGTGGCCATGGCAGCACAGCAGTCACTTTCTGAATGGCTGGACCCACAGCTGTTTTCACAGTTTAGCAGACTCATAGTAGCTTCGTTATCAACTGACCTGTATGCACAGCAAGACAAAACCAGACACTTTAGAATGCACACATGCATCTTACAGTTATCTATCCACGTCATCTAGTAGTTCATACATATTAGCTGTTTTAATGTTATTTACAAAATCACTTTTAAAGTGATTTGAGCTTTGCTTCATGACTACCATTTCTCAGTAAGTTATTGGAGTCCCTCCTTCAAAATATTTATGTATGATCATCCATGCAAAGCACTTGGAGCACAAAAAAAGCTAGATTCTTTAAGGACAGTACATGATTTAGGAGAATGACGACATAAGATTAAAAAAGTAAACATACTTCAATTATAATACTCTATCATATCTGTTTATGTCTATTTCCTGTGACTAAGAGCAGGAACTTGTAATTTCCATACCTCAGTACTTAGTGCAAGATTCTTTTCATGGATTAGCAAGTGCTTACTAAGCATCTGCTGAGGAACTCCATCACGATGCTGAAGCGCCTTTAGGTTTCTGAGCTGAAGAGTAGTTAGCAGGGAGTCACGTGATCACACACCACTACTGGATGCATGATATGGGTAAGTGACTTTAACCATTTGGATCTGTTTCTTCTACATCTAAAATGTGATGTGGATTTCCAAATGCTCAATGTGGGCATTCTACTTCGCAGAAAGGATGGCATTTAAAAAAATGCTTGTATCCTTCTGCCTTCAGTCAGGTCAGATAACCATGCTTCATTATTAATGACTGGAAAAACGCGTGTGGTCTCTTTGCTTACGGAAAACTATTGCTTTCATGAGCAGATGGATGCCTTCCAATTCTAAGATTATGTTATATGCATGAGATGCTAACATCTAAAAACAACTTCTAACACCTATAATGTCTCCAGATACTTATTCCTGAGAAAAATTCCTAATGAAAGCTATAGTTCTAGAAGCAGAATGTAAATAGTATAGCAGACAATTACCCCCATGCCTGTTCTATTTTTGTATAAAAACTCTATTTGCCATTTCACCAAATGGAGTTGATTAACCAGTAGTTATCAGGTCAATGAGATGGCTTAGTGAGTAAAGGTGCTTGCCTCCAAGACTGATCACCAGAGTTCAATCCCGGGAATATACATGGTAAAAGGAACCAACTCTCACATGTTGTCTTCTGACCTCTACATTCATGCTGTAGCATGCCCACACCCATTCATGCACACACAAACAAATACATACATATTTTAAAAAAACACACACCAAAAAAAACCAAAAAACAAAAAACAAAAAAACCCAAGTTCTCAGCTGGACCTTGTGGGGCAGGTCTATAATCTCAGCTACTAGGGAGGCTGAGGCAAGAGGTGAGTTCAAGGCCTTGTCTCAAAATAGTGAAAAGAGAGCTGGGGAAATAGCTCAGTGGTAGAGCACTTGCCTAGCAGGTGAGAATCTCTAGGTTCAATCCCCTGAATTGAAAAAAAAAAAAAGACAGGTGCTTACAATCATTTCACCACTACAAGCAGATGCCTTTCTATTTGCCTCAAAGACTTTACTATCTAATAAGCACCTACAAAGAGAAGGAGGGGAGCTGAAAAGATAGTTCAGCAGTTAGTGTACTGCTCTTGTTGACCCACAAGGGGACCCACGTTTGAGTGCAAGCACCCGTGTCAAGCGATTCACAACCCCAGTAATTTCCAGCTACAAGAGGATCTGACGGCTCTGGCCTCCAAACACCCACATTCAGCAGACATGCAGAATTAAAAATAAGATAAATCTTTAAAAAGAGAAATAAAAGAGGAGGCACTGCTCTGGCTGGAAAGGCAATACTCTGAAGTAATGACGAGCTTGGAGCCAGGATTTGACAAAGGACTTAGGTCTTTTCTTTGGTCACTTGGTACATGACTTGGGCAAGCTGCATAACCCTTCTGTGCTCCCATGTCCTTCTCCGTCAATTGAGGTTAGTAAGTTCCACCTGGAGAGCCTGTTAAGGATTAAATACGTTAATATGCACAGAACACTTAGAACTGTACCTGGCAGCAAGAATAGGTTATTTCATACAGCTTTACATAGTATTGTCCCTACTTATCAAAATGAAAACTATGGGGCTTACAAAGGTTAATCTGCTCAAGATAACCCAATTAAGTAACACAATGGGATCAGACCCCAAGTCTACCTGACCCTGGGCATTTTGTACTAATTATGTTCATCTGTGTTTTGACAAACTCATTTATGAAGTACCATTTAAGACTTCATTTTTATTATGCTAGAGGTGTCCAGCATTATTACACTGGGTTGATAGAACACCACAGAATCAAGAGATCTGACACCTTTTATTTAAATTTTGATATAACGGTTTTGAAAAATTGAAATTATCTCCCAAAGCCTTGTGAACTCCTAGAAAAGACTCATTCATACTGAAAGGAATGTGAGAGAGTGACACAACACAACTAGGCATGCATGTCTGTGCCTAAGATTGAGTATAAGGACTCCTGCATATTTGAGGAAAAATGAGTTATGCCACATGATGGTTTATATCCTTTATTTTCCCTACCATAGATATTTTTGCCTCTGTTTCCATACGCACATTTCCTAGAAGTAGAATTGCTGGGTAAAAGGGTAGTAACTTTAAAAGTTTGCTGATACATGATCCTGGTTAACATCTATCGAAGACTTTCTAATTTTCACTCCCATAGTATCTATGAGAAGGTTCATTAGATATATTCACATCTTTAGCTGCTTTATTTTGCTTGGTAAAGCCACTTCTGAGAAATTAGCATTTGTTATTTAGCTGCACAGCACATACTAAAAGTGCTAGAATTGAGACAAACATGATGGAACTCAAGTCTTCTTTTCCTCCTCAAATGCTCAGTTTAGAATTCAGCTTCTGTATCGTCTCTAAACTGCCTTCTTCCTGTCAAGTTCAAAAGACTTGAAAGTCAACAGGTTTAAAGAGACCTTTTATGAGCTGTATGTTCCTAAGAAAACACACCTAATCAGTAACAATTCCTTAAAAAGATTTCCACTGTCAGAATGTACTGTAAGGCGTTACAGTGAGTACTCTATTGTTTTGGAGACAGGGTCTTCCTGTGGCCCCAGATGGCCTGGAACTTGCTATGTAGACCAGACTGGCCTTGATCTCACAGAGTCCACCTGCCTCTGCCACCTGAGTTCTGGAATTAAAGGCATGTGCCACCTCACCCGGCACTGTGAGCACTCTTAAAAATATATACAATGCACCTGGATAAGTGGAAAGAAAAAATTGGAGGCAGGAATGAAGAGGACTGGTTGTCTTCTAGGAATAACATGGCCACTGCACTCTGGGTCTCTTTCTCAGCAGCTGTGAATACCTGGTTCAAGACTCCTCCTTGGGAGTTGGAGAGATGGCTCAGTGCCACTGCACTCTGGGTCTCTTTCTCAGCAGCTGTGAATACCTGGTTCAAGACTCCTCCTTGGGAGTTGGAGAGATGGCTCAGTGCTTAAGACTGAGTTGCTGCCACCCTTCCAAAAGGACCTGAGTTCACACACACACACACACACACACACACACACACACACATACACACATGTAAGTATCCTTCCTTAACACTGTCATGGATGGGGGAGGGGCTCACAGACACAACCCTTCTCTGAGGTCTTAACTGTCAGCTAATGGTTGCTGGGGGAGGGATGGTCTCTTCAGTAGTGTAACAACTGGTAAGCTGTCTATGCTCCTGTAAATAACCACTTATCCATACTCCTGTGGGCAACCCAACTAATCTTACAGGTTTGCCAAATAAATACGTATTGGTTCTTAGGGTATAAAGTATCATAAATGTTATTGTAGTGGTCTGAATGAGAATGTCCCCATAGGCTCCCAGTATTTGGACATTTTGTCTCCAGGTTGTGGTGCTGTTTTGGGAGGTCTTGGAGGTGTGGCCATGCTGGAGGAAGCACATCACTGGGTGGGCTTAGAGAGCACTTAAGCCTTGCTGGATCTCCCCTCCTGCTGCCTCCTGTGCCTACTTGAAGATGTGAGTGCTTAGCTTCTGCTTCTACTCCAGCCACCTCTGCCAACATGCCTCCCAGCTGTAATGGACTCTAATTCCCCTGGAACTGTAAGCTCAAATAAACTCTTCCTTCTATAAGTTGCTTTGATCAGTGTTTCTATCACAGCAACAGAAAAGTACCTAAGACAATTATCATTAGGGGGAAAAAAAATCTATCCAATAACAAATTTCCTTCATTACTTTCCATGCTTCAAGAGCACAGAAGCTTTTATGGCTTCCAAACAATCTTTTCCAGACAATCACTGTCAATGTCTACGTCTACGGCATGGAACCATATACTGTAGTACAATTAAAACAAAGTATAGTAACTAGACTGTACAGGAAACATTAAGCTAGAGACAAGCATATTTGAATATCATTTAGTATTTTTGTGTTCACTTTTTCTGAGGGAAGTTAAGTATTTTTTCCCTGTACTTTGTATAATTGCAACAACTTAAGTGGAAAAAAAAATCTCATCGCTAATTTAACTACAATGAATAGCTATTTAAATTAATGCTTAGAGAAAAACAAAAAGTGCTTTGAGTCTGCTACAGAGGTGAATAGAAGACAATGTAGTATGTGTACAGAAAATGCTGTGTTTTGGGGGGATTCTTTTTGACTTGATTCTGTTTCACAGGGATCCCCTTCAGGAGCTGCTATAAAATCAGGCTCCAGATTCTCTACAGTAAGAGTTATCATGCTTTGGTAAAATATGTATTTCCTACAGACTTTACTTATTTATGGGGCTTTCTATATGAATAGAAGGGATGAAACAAATTTTAAGTCATTTGTTATCATATTTATTAATAACTTCATAACTGAAATTCCCTTTCTATAGTTAGGACTCTAGGACGGTACTTAAAATATTGTGGGATAAAGCCAAGCTATTGCCAACTTCAACTACACAATAAATAAGTAATGAAATCAGCCCTGTTATAAACCATGGCTTAGATCTACAAATTAGGGTCTAGGTATACACTACAATTCAAAGACAATGCTGTTAGATGTCTTGGGGTGAGGAGAAAGGTGACTGACAAAGATAGATGTTAATGCTAGAAATGTGAGGTTAAAGAATCAACAAGCCATGTCTTGAATGAATAAATTTTAAATCAACTGAAATTCATACATGAGTAAACATGTAATTCATAAATCAAAACCATACAAAATATTGACAGTTTACCTTTAATTCTCTATTAACGGGGGCTGGGGCAATGGCTCAGTGAGTAGGTGCCCTAGCTACCCAGCCAAATGGGATCCAAATTGTAGGAGAGAACTGATTGCTCTAAGTGGTCTTCTGACCTCCATAGGCTTACCACAGGTGCACACACACATACATACACATACAGAAAAAATAAGTATGTGTAAGCAAACTTAATAAGCAAACTTCTCTGCTAACAGGAACTGTGTATCAACTCTTTAAAATCCATTTTTAAAATGCAAAGACTTGCAAAGTGCTACAATGGCCAAGAGATGCTGCAAAATATTCAATTGGTGTAAATTAATTTTGAATCCAAATTTAAGGAGCACTTCCCTTCTGAGGCACTGTTTGCTCTCCAAAAAGCTAGGATTTTGGACCTCTGTCTTACACAATGCAAGTGACAAAAATTTATTGCCACCAGATTTCAACACATCACAGAAAAAAAAATCAGGTTATAATTTTGAAGCATTGTGGAGCACATACACTGCATCAGGTTAAAACTCGGATATGATTTTCGTGTCCATTACAAGGGCAATACATTCCTTCATTGAATGTAGGCGGTCTAAAAGGCACCCTTCACCTCCAACCCCACAAAAGCCCTTTTACTTTCCCAAGTATCAGAGGAGGGACGAAAATGCCAACAGCTAAGTGACAAAGCCTACACTTCGGATTTAACAAGTTGTTCTCGTTTCTAGACCTGTGTAGCGAGATAGTAATCTGCTCTCGGAGAAACCAGCAAATCTTATCCATCCAAGCTAAGGATTTAAAGGTGCTTTCTGTTCACATTCAAGCCGCTCCGAAATCTCAGCTGGAGTTCCCCTAAAGCCAAATACTAGGAACAGCTTTACAAACTCAGCGTCTGGAACAATCGCTAGAGTGCAGGGGCGGGGGGAAACATCCGTGTCACCCGAATATTTTTTTTAAACTTGCTGCTTAGGATCACTATCGAATTTAACAGAGAACCCCAAAATAGTTTTCCCCTAATAGTGAGAGAGGGAGTCGTTGGAAATTTCAAGGTCTTTCCCTCCGCTTTTTAATAGAAGCTCTGCGGGACGGGAAAATCCAGTAGGCGATTTCCTTTTCTAGGAAGGGGAGGATAAGCAAGGCTGAGGAAGTGGGCCCAGGAGTGGAGTGAGCGGGAAGGAGGCGAGGAAGGGACCGGCGCGTCCCAGGCCAGCAGGGGGGCGCGACCTGCACCTGGGGGACCCGCGGGGACAGAGGGCAGAGCCCCATCTGTGGGCGGCGAGGGGACCCAGAGTGGCGTCCGACACTGGAGGGATGAGGGCCAGGGGGTGGAGTCCCGGGCCTGCGGGACGCCGGGACCCGCGGGAGGCGACCCAGGTTGCAGGGTCGTGGGTCCCCGCAGGAGACGAGGCCGCGGCCGCCGGGGTCGCAGTGTGAAGAAACCGACTTACCGCTGTGCACGCAGGGCTGCCGCCGCGGGCGGGGAAGGCTCCTCCGGCGGTCGCCGCACGCCGTACACCGTGCTCCGAGGCCAAGCGTCCCCCACGCCACACTCCCAGCCCGAGGGCCGCAGCAGCTGCGTCCGCGGGACCTTCAGCCCCAGCCGGGACCGCTACTGCTTCCGCCTTCTCTGGTCAACGGGGGCAGTGAGGGGCGGGGAGCGCGCACGGAGACAGAGCGTCCTCGCGCACCCACAGCGCCCCCTGCCGTCGATCCTCCACGCGCCAGCTGTCGCGCAGGCGCAGGGCGGCTGCAGCTGTGAGCCCCGCCCACTCCTGGGTGTCTCATCTGAGAATGCATGACAGCCAAACCCTGAACTGATTGAAGCAGTGAGTCATCTCAATAACATCGATAACAGGAATCCCAAACTGTATTTTCATTGATTTTCTCTCCAAGCAGCAAAAAATGTGACTTTCGGGAATTTTTAATCAAACCTTTACTCCCCGCTCTCCTTGCAAGGAGAGCATGCATGTATTAAGCATGTAGTCTTTCCTCTTCATCCAGTGCTAGGGAGTCAGGCTATGCATGAAATACTTCTTAGCAATTACTGCCAAGTGCACTAGCCTGTTTTCTGCCACTGTCAGGGGAAAGCTATTTTGAATTCCCTGTTTAACTGGACATAAATATATACGGAATGTAATAGACACTGCAATAAGTGCACAAAAGATTTTCACCCACATCTGCAAATTTGGCTCATTTTCCACCAGTAAGAGAAGGTATTACGGGGTCACATGTACATATCCTGAACTAGAACGTATGCTTTCAAAACCATTTTCCCCCCTTTATAATCTGCGTGACTTTAGAATAAGCTGCATCATCTGTACCTGCTTCAATTTTCTCATCTCATATGAATGTGGCATATTAATAAGGTTGGTAGATAGGATAAGCTAATACATAGTGATTTAAAATTATCTAGGAAATAATATGCACCATAAATCTAACAATACTGTATGTCCATTTTTGCTGGCATTTTATCAGAATGATTCTTTTCAACATAAGAATCTGTAACTAATCAGACTAATTACCCCCCTTTAAAAAGTGCTTTGAAATATTTAAGACATGAAAAATATAAAGAATTACACATAAATCTCTATGAGCTCATCACACAATTTAAGAAATAAAACACAGCTGAATTGTTGTACTATGTATCTCTCTTCAGTAGATCCCTCCCACAGTTATATATAACTGTTAAGTAACCTATCATGGTTCAGAAGCCAAGCTCCACATTGTGGCACCAGATATGGGGGGGGTGCACTCTCTCTCTGGGGGGGCGCTCTCTCTGCACGCACTCTCGGGATGGCAGGGCGGATCCGCAGGTGTGCGTGCGCTCTCCTGCTGTGTGTCTGGAGGAGAGCTGGTCTAGTCCCGTTGGCTTCTCCGTGTCTCTATGGGCCTCAGGTGTGGTGTGCATGGATATCTCGGGGTGCTCTGGGCCCCTGCCACACCTGGCTAGTCGCTGGCAGGCCTGGCCACAGGCGTCTCTGGCCACGGCTGCGGATGCCCCGCAGGCTTCTCCCGGTGGCTCGAGTCCCGAGTCTCTGGTGCAGACAGCTTCCTCTGCTACTGAAGCATTGTTCAGCCGAAATCCCGTCTCTACTTCACCCGTGTACTATTCCTCAGGTTGGGAGGTTCCTGGCCACAGAACCACGGGGCAGGGAAGAGTACGGAGATGGGGAAAGCTAGAATGTCTGTAAGCCGGTCACGGGGGAGTGCGCCCCCCAGAGAGATTGGGCCGCCGGTAGTGACACAAGACTCAAGACTTAGTCTGTGTTACAGCTTTTTTCTCTGAGACCTGGCTCCCTGTGTCCCAGCTCTCTGCGACCCAATTCTCTGCAGCCCGAATCTCTGCAGCCCAATTCTCTGACCATTAAGAGAAGACTAAGGCATTTATACCATGGGGGTAGTGGTAAAAGCTTTGGCTGTTAGATGCTTCGTGAGGCATTGTATTTACATATGGAAGTGGGTTTCTGCCAGACTGCTGTCTGCTAGGAAAAATTATAGGAAGGCATGGTACCTGTTAGAGCCAAAGGCCATGTTTATGTTATGGCATTTGTGGCGGACACTTCAAAAGGAGAGACAGGAAAGATGCCAGGAAGACACCCCGCTATGAAAGGAGCCGGCAGCACATAATTCCCGAGCTGCATGAGCTGTCCGGTGTGAAGGGGCTTCGACTTTGCATAACAGAGGCTCCCAACATATTCCTTGAGGAATGGAAAAGAGATTCTTATGAAATCAAGAGATGGAGAAAGGGCTGTTGAGATGGCTCAGTGGGTAAAGGTGCTTGCCTCCTAGCCTGAGGATCTGAGTTTGAATTCCAGAACCCATATGGTGGAAGAAGAGAACCAACTCCCAAAAGTTGTTCTCTGACCTCCACATACATGTCACGGGATACACACACACACACACACACACACACACACACACACACACACATACTCACACTCACACACACATACACACAGCATGAAAATAGAAAGGAGCATGGGGGAATTTCCTCCATAGGACTGGCCTGTGGCCATGTCCATGGGGCACCTTCTTGATTGTTGAGTGATGTGGGAGGGCCCAGCCCACTGTGGGCGGTGCCACCCCTGGGCAGATGGGCCTGTGTTGCATAAGAAAGCAGGCTGAGCAGGGGCCAGGGGAGCAAGCCAGTAAGCAGCATTCCTCCATGACCTGTGCTCCAGCTCCTGCCTCCAGGTTCCTGCCCTGAGTTCCTACCTTGGAGATTTGGAGATGTAAGCCTAGTAAACCCTTTCCTCCCCAAGTTGGTATTGGTCAGAGTATTTTGTCACAGCAATGAAGAAACAAACTACACACACACACACACACACACACACACACACACACACACACACACACACCACAATAAATGCAAAAGAGTGAGAAATGGAGAAAAAAAGACCCAGCAAGAAATTTAGATTTCCTTCACTTATTAGTGTGAGCTCTGGGGCAAGTTAAGTAACCTATCAAACTTTTACTTTCTAAACCATAGAAAAGAGGATGATGTCTACTTTACAGAGTTGTCAATATCAACTAATAAAAAATGAACATGCGGGAACACAGCACTAGGCTTTCAAGATCAGATGTATTAAATGTATTTCTTCACACTGTTTTCATGTGTTCTCAAGGGACCTCGTCCTACTTCTATAAATCCTATATATGTTTCACTGTTTTCCACACAATTGAGTCTTGGGCTCACCCATACCTGCAGCATATAGGAAACTTAGAAATCTGTCAGACCATGAGAGTGCTATAGCTCAGGAGCTGTGATAGGGAAAAATGTTTGTCATTTGTAGACTAACATATTTGATTAACACATCTGCTACCTGTGTTTAACAGGTTTAGTTGCTTTAGCATAGCTGTGACAAAAGGAACTTAAGGTAAGAATTTTTTATTTTAGCTCTTGGTTTCAGATATTTCTCCCTGGCAAAGAGGGTGTGGCAGAGCAGAACAGCTCATATCACAGCAAACAGGAAGCAGAAGGTGACAGAGAGGAAAGAGAGGGAGAGAAGGAAGGAAAGAGAGAGGGGAAGAGTTCTCGTAGAGGCCAGAGCAAGATAATGCCCCCAAGGTCATGTCCCAGTAACCTTCTGTACTGATAGCGTCAGTTGTTGATTTGACACACCTGGGAAGAGAACCTCACCTGAGGCATTTACTCCCATTTACTCCATCAAATTAGCCTGTGGCCATGTCTATGAGGCATTTTCTTAATTGTTGGCTGGGCCATCCCTGGGCATGTGGTCCTAGGTTTTATAAGAAAGCAGGCTGAGCACAGGCCAGGAGGAGAAAGCCAGTAAGGAGTGTTCCTCTGTGGTCAATTTTTCAGTTCCTGGCTTCCCTCAGTGATGAACTGTGATGGGACATGTCAGCCAAATAAACCTTTTCTTCCCCAAGTTGGTTTTGGTTAATGTTTTATTACAGCAATAGAAAGCTAGCTAGGGTACCTACCTTCTTCATCCAGTCCCCACCTGCCAGAGTGTCACCATGTCTCAATAGTTTATTCAATTTTTAATGAAATAGTGTGCTTTATGAATCTCTTAAGTGTTTCTCTATCAAGTTGACAATCAAGATTAACTACCATAACCTTGGATGTAGTGAGGTAGCTATAAGATGAAAGAGGTGAATCCTTATCTTGCTGTATGGAGGGAGGGGAGTCACCTTGGAAAGTCAACCCACCTGCTTTGAATTTATATGAGCAGGAAACAAATCCCTCTTATTTTAAGCCACTGAGGTAGTGGGTCTGAACTCTAAGCCAACCCATTTTGTGCATAATCCTGCTTGGATCTCCTCCTGATGACAGAAAATCAGAACACGAGGCTGTACTGCTGACTCTGCTTCTCATAAAACTGGAACCTGGTTAGGTTCCTCATGCATAAAATCTGAATAAAATCTGCTGCCCTAGTTACTTGTCTGTTGCTGCGATAAAACACTGATTAGAAGCAACTTGGTTTGAAAACGGTTTATTTCATCTTACATCTCCCAAGTCACAGTCTTATCACTGAGGCAAGTCAGGGCAGGAACTCAAGGCAGGAATCTGGAGGCAGGAATTTAATGAAGGCGGGCTACAGAAGAATGCTGCTCACTGGAAGAGTGCTGCTCATTGGCTTGCTCCTTTCTGCTTTCTCTTCCTCCTCCTCCTCCTCTCCTCCTCCTCCTCCTCCTCCTCCTCCTCCTCCTAGTGATGGCATAAATACATGTGACACACCAGCATAGAGCCATCTTCTGAAGCACAATCTATCATGGGCATCTTACATCTCCCAAGTCACAGTCTTATCACTGAGGCAAGTCAGGGCAGGAACTCAAGGCAGGAATCTGGAGGCAGGAATTTAATGAAGGCGGGCTACAGAAGAATGCTGCTCACTGGAAGAGTGCTGCTCATTGGCTTGCTCCTTTCTGCTTTCTCTTCCTCCTCCTCCTCCTCTGCCTCCTCCTCCTCCTCTGCCTCCTCCTCCGCCTCCCCCCCCTTCTTCCTCCTCTTCATTTTTCTTCTTTGTTTTGGTCTTTTTGAGGAGGGTCTTCCTGTAGCCACAGCAGGCCTAGAGCTCTCTATGTAGTAGAGCAGGCTGACCTTGATCTCATAGAGATCCTCCTGCCTCTGCCTCCCAAGTGCTCCTCCTCCTCTGCCTCCTCCTCCTCCTCTGCCTCCTCCTCCGCCTCCCCC